TGCAAACTAATTGAAAACATTGTAGTGAGGGAATGATCATCTTTATGATTTGAAGATGTAACAACAAACAAAAAAGTGACACAAGCACACTTTATTTTGACAATTACATGTCACATATTTATCTCACATATTTACTGGCACCAGTATAGAGCCGTGTGATGCCTTCATTCACAGTCTGAACCTGTACCTAAAAATAACAAAAAAACACCGAAAACAAATATGTTAAAATCTTTGAACGACTTCTTCTGATATTTGATATTTGCCCAGTAACATGCTGGGATGAAGGGCTACCAAGTTTGTTCAAACAAATGGCCTTCTCCCATTTTCAAGGTCACAGGGGTCAAATATGTTCTTCTGAATACCCAAGAGGCAAAGGATAATGATATTTGGCCAGTAAAATGCAGGGATGAAGGGTATACCAAGTTTGTTCAAATGAATGACCTTCATCTATTTTCAAGGTCACAGGGTTCAAATATGTTAAAAACCTTTAAATAACTTCTTCTCAATAACCAAAAGGCCTTGGATGATCATATTTGGCCAGTAACATGCTGGGATGAAGGGCTACCAAGTATGTTCAAACAAATGACCTTCACCCATTTTGAAAGTCACAGGGGTCAAATATGTTTAAAACCTTTAAACGACTTCTTCTCAATAAGCATAAGGCCTAGGGTGATGATATTTGGCCATTAACATGCTGGAATTAAGTACTACCAAGTTTTTTCAAATGAATGACCTTCGCCCATATTCAAGGTCACAGTGGTCAATATATGTTAAAATCTTTAAATGACTTGTTCTGAATGACCAAAAGGTCCAGGGTAATAATATTTTGCCAGAAGCATGCTGGGTTGGACAACTATAAATTCTGTTCAATCTTATGTCCTTGTTCGACATTCAAGGTCACAGGCGTCATATGTTTAAATCTTTTAATAGGTTCTTATGAGTCAACACTGATATTCTTCCCGTAGCTGTATTTTAGTCCCCTTTTAAGATTATTTGTGTGAGATTAATACCAGGTGAGCGATTCAGGCCCATTGGGCCTCTTGTTTAAGCAACTCCTCATCTCAATTTTTCAATCTGTAAACAATTTTTATTCTCCTAAAGGATCAACACTTGGCCAGTATGTTTTATATTTAGTGATCCAAGCATTGAGAGCAACAAGTCAAAAACTGCAACATAACGGGGTCATTCTAACATATCTATAACCAGGATAAAAACCTGCTGAATACCATAAAGATTTATCAAAAGTGTGCAAAAAATATATGAGCTGTAACAAGGACCTAATCTGCAGGGGAAGGTAAGACACCAAAGACATGAGTTTATTCATTTCTTCAGGCCTGACAATCTTCTATATGGTTACTAGGTAGGGATCAAAACTGTTTCTATGAATAACCCCGGAAGTTAGTTCTCAAATACAAGACCAGACCCTGGAGCCAATCCTAGTAGAATAAGTATATATATATTTGTCTCTTCATGCATAGCAACTGTATATATGATTATACGGTGGGGATTTCATCTGTTTTCATGTTATGATACAGGGAGTAAGTATCGAGGGAAAGGACTAGACCCCATAGCGAATCATGGTAGCATGGGTGTTAGTGTTTCTCTATGTCTTGAAATTGTATAAGTAGTTGTAGGGTCAGAATATCCTTTTTTTTTGATGTTGTCATCCAGGGAGAAATACTCATGGGTGGGGCTGGCCAGCAGCGCAATCATGGTATCATGAGTGACTTCATCTCTTCATGGTTCACAACTGAATATAATTATGTGGTTATAGTGTTGGGATCTCAACAGTTCCATGTTATGATCCAGGGAGTAAGTACCAAGGGCTGAGGCAAAACCCAAGGGCCAATTTTAGTAAATTTAACATACTAAATTTGACTCTTCATGCCCAGCAATTGTATAAAAGGTTATAGGGTAGTAATATAAAATAATTTGGTGTTGTGACCCAGGAAGTAAATCCTATCAGTTGGGTAAGACCCCTGAACCAATCCTGGTAGCATATCTGTATTTATCATATCAAGCGCAGCAATTGTATATATGGTTATTAGGATATGGATCTCAACTGGTTTTATGTTGACTCAGGGACCAAGTACCTTGGGCCAATCCTGTTGGTATGGATGTATTCATCTCTGCATGGCCCGCCATGTGTATATGGTTACCCAAATAATCCTCTATAGAGGTCCTACGTCTCTGGCCCCAGGGGCTGCAACGTCTTCATTTATAGTTATACAAAATATTATCAGTTTGCCCTTGAAATGTTTCAAATCAAATATGGTTACAAGTCATGCAGTTTTCCGGAAGGAGTAACATTTCGAAGCAAAAATGCCCTAATTAATATTTTAGGCCATGCCCTTCTGTCTCAGAGGATGCACCTTGCCTCACATGTATACTTTTCAGACCAAATATGGTAATAGTTTGTAATGTCTTTGAAGAAAAGTGGTCTTTTAAAGGCCGAAGCACATTTATTTCCACTTATAAGGCCCCATCCCTCAGTCCCCCCAGGAATCCATACCTTTACATACGTAATACAAAATTTGATTTTTTAGTCCCTAGGATACAACAAAGTAACTTTGGTTGAAATCTATCAGTTGTTCAGAAGGAGTAAGGTTTTAAAGGAAAAGAAGCTAGATGGTCGGTTGGATAGATGGATGACAAACACAATGCCAGGTATAAGCTCACCACTCCTTTGAACAGTGATCTAAAAAGGTCACTACATTTGTTAACAAGAAAATAATAAATAAACACAAAATATGGCGCTTTTTTTAACAGTATCTAAAGTTACTCAGTCTAATACAATGATTTTTCATCAATGAAGCTCCTGGCAAAAACTATTTAGTGTCTCAGCTTATGCTTTACTGAGTGAGAGTATGTAGATACTATTATATTGAGTATGTAGATACTATTATATTGAGTATGTAGATACTATTATATTGAGTATGTAGATACTATTATATTGAGTATGTAGATATTGCAAGAGCCACTCTGTCACATTCAAGTTTCTGTGACAGTGAGTGACTGTTTGAAAATATTGCAAGAGCTACTAATTCACATGAGAGTTTCTGTGACATTGAGTGACCATTTAAAAATATGGCAAGGGCCACTGTGTCACATACAAGTTTCTATGACAGTGAGTGGTGGTTTTAAAAAATTGCATCTGTGGCATTGAGTAACAGTTTAAAAATATGGCAAGAGCAACTGTGCCACATTCAAGTTTCTGTGACAGTGAGTGACTGTTTGAAAATATTGCAAGAGCTACTAATTCACATGAGAGTTTCTGTGACATTGAGAGACCATTTAAAAATATGGCAAGGGCCACTGTGTCACATACAAGTTTCTGTGACAGTGAGTGACTGATTTTTTGAAAATATGCAACAGCCACTGTGTGACATAAGAATTTCTTTGACATTGAGTGAACAAATTTGTATCTGGAAATCAAAATTTAACATTCTTTGAAAATATCAATGGTTTCCAGTAGACCATATACAAAACTGGAATAAACCTTTATGTCTTGTCATGAAAAACTGACACATATTACAACACCTTATAAGTGTAAAACATGTGCATTGATTAGGGTGCCTTACAAGCGTCAGCTGTAGGAAATTTCCCTTAAGCTCAGCAGTAGAGCATCGGGCTGGAGAGCCAAGGGTCGCAGGTTCGAGTGTTGTCGCTGGGGCTCGAACCCGATACCCTTGGCTCTCCAGTCCCAGCGACAACACTATCTTTATCACTATTCCTCTTCCTACTACATAAGGTAATAGTTAAATGATAATAGTCATAAATGTTTGCATAGTAATTCAAATAGATTGCATATTACATGTATGATGATTTTAAGTTAAAAAACTGATATGGAATGTTAACGATCCTTTCATAAAACAGAATATTATGCCATATAGGTCTTCGATCAAGATATGTGTTCCTGAGTTAATTCTTTAAATACGAATATCATAGACTTGCCTTCTTGACATGGTAAAGGTTTTATATGTCTCCAGTGTATGACAATGAAACATAGGCACAAACTAACTCAGCTGAGTGAGTTACACAAAAACTATGGCTACAGAAACTGTGCTTGTCTACATTATAAATAAATTGTCTCCCATTATGTAAATTTATAACGAATATAAAAAAGGATTCCCTTTGTGAGCTGAATGGCTATTGTATTTAAATATTACATTAGTTGGTTGAATTTAAAATCAAAACTAACAAAAGGAAGTTTTGAAATTTAACTAATGAGTTAAATAAGATAAATAACCATTAACCAATCATCATGAGTTGAGTAGCCCTTTTCTACCATAACATTGATATCATGTTGAGAAAAGATTATTCTAAACATGATAACTGTTTTGGACCCCTAAAAGAGTCTGTTACGATGGTACAATGGCAGTACATGCCACATGTAATAATGTAAGGCACAGTGAAGCAGCAAGGTGATAAATTTGTCTGTACAAACAATATAGTCCCAAAACCATTAAGTTATGTTTGACAACTGATTAACAAACAACAAAGTGTTTACACCCTGGGCTACTGACCCAGTAAAACACTGTCAACAGCCCTTTTTAGCATGACTGTATCACAAACAAAATCTGCAATTTTTTCACTGCAAACTACATCAGGCACTATGTTAGTCTACCAAGAGTTAAGTCCCCTGGCATCACATACAAAATTACAAAATTACAATGAATGGAACATACATTAAAACATATAAGAGAGGTAATTGGTTATAATTAGAATTAAGCCTAGACAGTCATTGATAGCTCTGCTTTGTTAACATGTGCTGCAAAAATCTAAAAATACTGTAAGCACTCCAAGGGTCACACACATTTCTAAATCTAAATACATGCACTACTATTTGCCTCTTTGGAATCTTTGTACAACTGGTGGAGAGGCAGACTAGTTCCTATCTGTACATAGCAAGTAGTGAATGTCTCAATCACAACTGATTTTGTGTCATATTGTCATTGCCAAAGGAATACAATATTGAAAGCTTGCATTACCCCCCCCCCCCCCCAAAAAAATACCCTCAAACAATGTATCTTCAACACAATGAAGGTGGTCTATAACATGTCAAGTTAATATTGTACTTGTATTTAATATCTAAAATGATGCTTCTCAATTACAGCCTTTTGCTGAGGTTGATACCTGGATTTATCAACCTGAGAAAAGATATATTGACCGAGAACGCAGTCCGAGGTCAATATTTCTTTTTTCTGGCCGATAAATCCAGGTATTGCCCGAAGTTAAAGTCAATATCGTTTTTTTTATCGGTGGAAACGTGATACACTCCTGGCCAATCACTTGTTGGGAATAATATGAAAAAATAAGTAAAAAATTTAACACTCTTTATATACAAATATAAGCTACTTTCTAGTACAAAAAAACATAATGTGCATATCAACATGTGGCAACATTGCAAGACTGACTGGTCTCATTGTGAAGCTTTTTTAATGAGTGAGTGATTTGCATTGTTTACCTGTACAATGATGTGATGACATTGTAAAACACATTTTATTGCTTGACAATGACAAAGAGACTATGCAAGTTGGCCTTGAATGTTGTGACACGTTTATACATTGTTTCTGTATAAAGTACACAATTTCATGTATGTATATGACAATTCCTATGATATGTTTAAAAAAGTAAGATAAAATAGCACAGCATCTGTTTAAAATGTAGATTTCTAATATTATTTTCAATATCACCCTGAGAAGCTAATTCTAAATGGGTTCTGTACAGTATAATACTTGAGTATGTGGATTATAAATCATGTCATCACAAAGATAGCTATTATTGTAAAGAAAAACCCAGGGGTCTGAATAACTCACTTGGTCTCCCATTATATCAAATAAGGTACATATTTAGAAAAAAAAATTAAAAAAAAATATAATTACTTAATGAGACCAGACAAAAAAATTGTAAGTAAACTCTGTTTAATATTAACCCCAATTTCTTTATTAGGCCTCACATACTATGGTGGTCACTTTAAGGCCCCTAGCCTCTAACCCAATGTTCCTTTAACACAAGAATAACTTGAATCCTGAAATCTCTTCATATTAATTCCTATAGGAGCCTACCCTCTGCCCATATGAGGCCAAGTCCTTTATTTACACAATGCTGTGTCCCTTTGACCCAAGGAGACCATAGCCATTCTTTATAAATCTTTATACCAACTAGAGTAAAAATCCCTTTAACACATCCTCTAAATCCAACGGTTACACTCTCAATATTAACATCTTCTCTACACTGTAAATATACCTTGACAAATTGAAGGCTCACCTTACCAATGATACATGTAGACTAGGTTGATCCTTTCATGTACTGGGGTACATCAAAAGAGTTGCAGTGAAATTGACCAGCATTGGAACCAGGTGTCGGTTCTCTAAAATATTGTAAGGACAGGTATTAACCTAGTAATTGGTCAGTTCTTTAGACCTGAAACATGACATGACATATTGAGAGCAGAATCCCTGGATTTTGAAGATGCCTATACCTGCACTGAAGGAGTAGTCGTTTACAGATTTACCCCTATTCCCCTATTGGGCTTTGCTCCTTGTGTCCCCAGAGGTTCAAACCCTTTGTTGAAATGAATGCTTAAATTTGAAGTAAATTTTGCCCAAATCCATTCATCCAATCTTGACTAGAAGACTTGTTATATTAGACAAGATTGCAACACACTGCCAGTATCCGGCACCGCTTAAGAATGGACCCAATTCATGAAGACATCCAAAAATTTATGATATAACTCACTCTACCGACCCAAGATGTACCAGCATACCGATTTTGATGGTCACAGGTGAAATAAAGTGGGATATATGCTCTGGGCAATACCTCGGAAGGACCGAAGGACAACACTACCATATACACCATCTGTGTTGCAATGGGAATAAGAAAAAGTTAACAGATGGACGACAGCTGCCACATCTTTGGGCAGGTAAGTCAATAAAAACAAGAAATAATATCATCTCTGACACACAATGTAAAACATATGAGCATCTAGTTGTTAACTGTAAAGCAAAAATTCTTATGAGAACAGAACTAGTCCATTGCCCATCATGTCCCTAAGACTGATGTGATTTGGAGGGATTTTTTCCCTTAACATATGCTATATAATAGAAGTTTGAAAATAGAATTGTCATAGACATTCCATAGAAAATACCATAGATACAAAAACCATGGTATATATGTCCAATGGTAGCATGGACAAATCCAATAAAAAACTGCAGTAGCTGCAACTGTGTGATATGCTTCTTCCATGGGAAGGACTTGTCAGGGAATGTGGCACTAAGACCATAGTACAGGTAGAGGACAATGTGTACAAAACAGTTGATGGCAAGGTAGAAGGCTATACATGGCCAGGGATACAGGTTGTATGATACATCACTCAGCAGCAACATAGAACAGTGGTGGTACACATGCAGGAAGCTGATCTGTCGCCTACGGTGACGAAGCATCATGAAGACAGTGTCTAGTAGCTCCACGAGTTTGGTTATCCAATAAATCCTAAAGAATGGTATCATCAACTCAGATGGGCCTTTCTGGAATGTTGACTCACTCTGAGACAGGCCATAGAGTAAACCTAGCATGGCATACAGGCTGGCAGCACTACAGGCAAAGTTGTGGATAATCAGAATCTTGAAAAGAAAAAAGGAAATAAAAAGATATGATAAAATATAAGGTAAGGGTAACCCAATAAACTGCAATTTGCTCTTCAGGATCACCACCTTATTATAGTTTTGTTGACTTTTGCGCTAATTTATATATTTCATATGCCTTTTTTATAAATGATCTCCCTTTATCAGCCTGTATTGTTTCTTTATATAATTTTTAAAATTACATCATATCAATACTTTACTATATTAACAGACTAAGCATTTTTGAAAGGGTGTTTGAGCCTCTTCACTGTTAATCCTACCTTCTATTTCAGACGGCTAAAGAACTATTAGGTATTTTTAGTCTGTTAAAATAGCAAAGTATTGATATGATGGAATTTTGAGAATTATATTAAAAACAAAATCAGACTGATAAAGGGAGATGATTTATAAAAACAGAGTGTTTGCCATAATAATGTAAATTGAACATGGGTTATTGTTTGCTGAACATTTTATTTTGAGAAATCCTTGTGTCAAACTTCAATGTAGAGTTGAAGAGAGGCCCATTAGGCTTCATAATATTGCTCACCTGCTTTTTTTGTTATGTGACCTGATCCCTCTACCTGAAGGCTATTATATGACATCAGCATACCAGTACTTTAGCCCCTAATTATTCACGTTTCATTGTGAGTACTTACTGGTCTCATTTGGAGAGGGGAGGTAACTCTTTGGTAGATGGGAGACAGCACAATCATGGCAAGGTATGCACAGAACAATGGGAAAGACCATAGTGAGCACGTTGTCTCCAGGAACTTTTGAATACTTTCAGTTGTGTATGCCATTTTTAGCTTAACTGAAAGCAAAAAGAAGAATAAATTAGCACAAATTAAAATATTCCAATATTCCAAGCAACATGTTCAATTGTTCATTGTTGTTAAAATAGAAGGTATTCAATGTGTTTTAAACAAATTCTTCATGTGGTTGCTATAGAGTATTGTCTGTAAAGGTGCGCTCAATCATCTGCAAACTTGTATAAATAACTACTAATCAAGAATTAACTTGGCAAAACATTATCCTTAAAATCTTATCAGTCCAGTCCAATTTTATATCTTAAATACTGGCAAATAAATCAACTAAATCATGATGGGAACAAAAGGCTCATATAACCTGTATCTCTTGTGTGTGTGTGTGTTTTTTTAATTGACCTCTTTGACTCTAAGAGTTCGAAGGTCAGGGATTCAAATCCCAGGATGGCAATACATTTTTCCTCTCCTGTTACATTGTTACATTGAACATCCCAGGCTTTCTAGTTGGACACTTTAGTTATGAGCTAAAGGAAATTCTCCATATCTGAAGATAGAAAGGCAACTTTGACACCTATATATACAATGCACAACCTTTACACTTCTCCCTTGCCTGAATAAAAATCTCTAAGGCCACAATTATTTATAAAATGGATATGTTTTCCCTTAATATGATTTTTTAATAAAAAAAAATGTAATATTATAAAGCCCACCTGACTGTCTTAAAACTAATAGATCTTGAAAAAATCAAATTGGCTGCTCCTGAAATTCAGTCCGGATACCGGAACCAGTACACTGTATAAGGAAGCATCAAAATAATTAACACAGGGGACACCATAATTATTGCTGGCTTTTGGAGAGACAATTTTTATTTGTTACCCAACATGCTTATGTCAAATAAAAGAACTGATTAACAAGAAAGAGTGTGATAAGTATTGACCGAGTATTAAATCCTCAATCCCGGGCTTTCTTATCAGATGCAGCATGAATTAAAGGGACAATTTAGCTTTTAATATAATCATGCCACAATATCTTTCATGATAATGTATGGTAGTTTGATACTCCTTATGAACAATTCATGTTGAGAAATTGACAAAAGTCAATGTTTTCCTGGCATTTGTAATCAATAATGAAGAAATCCTAAATAGCTAGTACAGCCATTCATTTAGGGGCAACTGTCAGTGAACTTCTAACTAACTGATTATGAGCAAACGTCTTTTATTTTTGGTAAACAAAAATGTCTTTGCAGCTGAGGCAAAAAGGTGATCAAATTCACAGTTTAGTCACTTAACTTGTTTGGAACACAAGTACTGGCATTTATTCTGAATCAATAGCATCTTCCAAACAACATCTCAAGGATTGTTATAAATGTGATTTAGTTTACCTGCTGATCAATGTTTCGAAAGTCCCAACGGAACCCTTGGAAATAAGCATTCCATGACTTTAATGGGCTATCCTAAGATAAGGCAAAACACATAAATTATAGATATCAACTTCATGCTTGCCAACCCTCTCTATTTAGGAGGGAGACTCCTGGTTTGGACCCTTAAATTTAGTAATTTCAACAAGAGAATTTGCTAAACTGTTACTATCTTCTAGGATCTAATGACTTAATCGGAAAGAATAACTCAAAATATGTCACTTAAGGGGTTATTTTATCTCTAGGGGTGTATACACACACGCTAATGTTTTAATTTTGAGCATGCATAATCATAAAAAAGTTGGCAAGTAAGCAACTTTGTAATTACCTATGTATGTGAAATTGTTTTGTTGTGTATGCCTTTTCCTGAATAAATATTATTATAAGATACATATTTTCTTCTTGCGATGTATATTGCACATTATGCCACAAATTCAAAGTGTGCAGATGTTTTACATCAGGTACTGTGGCTTTACATCTTTAATAAACAACAGACAAATTATCATTTGTTTAGAACTCTTTCGTGAAGGAGATGTATAACAGTTAGACATCATGTCTACTTAAATACCATACAGATACCGCTGACAAAGCGTTCAAAAACGATTTCCTTATTGACTTCACTCAGAGTGTGTGTGCGCACGCGTGTATGTGTGTGTGCATGCATGTGTGATTCTACATGCCATGTAACTGACGAGTTAAAGGTTGTTGTGTTGTATTAACAGAAAATGCATACACCTTCACCTACAAACAAATACAGACCATTGTTATTTTTAAATGATTTTAAACAAATCGGCTACTAATGTACATCCATACCTATCCGTCCCCGCCTTCAGGAAGTGTTGTCTGCTTATTAACCGACGCGCACCTTTGCGTGGGGATACTGCATTGCTAAATAATTTGTAGAGTACGGTTTTGTAGTTTTAACCATAACCATGATTGAATTTATTAATATTTGATATAAAACTAATAAATACTTTATACTTTAAATAAGAGATATTTCAGGATTGTATCATTTGATAATAGATTCGTCAGCCTTTTCCACAAAATAATGATCCCTCTTTTAACCTGGCAATTTGTTACTGCTAAATTGAAAGTATATATTTTTTGTGAAAACAGCTGTTGTAAGTTAAAACAAATAAGTCGATTTTTTTTATTTATATTTTCCCATGGTATCTTTTACCCTATGTTATAATAATGTTATTAATATAAGTTTTTTTCTGTCTTGCCAGATCCGGATTATTGAATGATGTTTGTTATATTTACCCGGAAATGCCACGTCCGTAAGTGAGCGCAGGCGTACGAGCCGGAAGACACGACAGACGTCTGCGATGGAGTACTTCCGAAAATACCTTGGGGGACCACAAGAAGGTGGTCAACCCACTGGAGCAGAAACGGTAGGTACTATTTATCACATGTGTAGTGTCAAATAGCAAGAAAAGTCTGTACTTGCTAGGTACCCTACCATGGTTATAAGGATGTGCATTTTAAGGCCGGCCGGTAACCCCCCACCCACTCCGTTTCAACAACCTGCAACACTTCTGTAAGTGTAATGACACTGTACAATACTGTATTTATTTTTTTGTTTGCTGTCCGATTGGTATGTACACGTCGAATTACAGTGAAGAATGTATATGACAGGACTGGTAAATAAAAATAAACTCATCCTCTTGTGTTTCCAAACTATTGATCTGATAATTATTGCTCTGTAGATGCATACAGTAGCCCCAAGTATCTTCTGGCCCTGACACCAGACTTAGACATTTTGACAGGTAGATGTCTGGTGTAGGGCCGGAGTGCACTACTATAAGAAAACGTGGAATTCTCCCACACCAGATCTGTCAAAATGTCCAAGGCTGGTTTCAGAGCCAGATGAGTTGTGAGCCGATGACAGCACCTCAGAGAAAGGAATTAGCTAAATTTATATAGATACAGTAACTGACCAGGAATAGGCGACCAATCAGAATTTTTGAGCCTGCGATTGTGGTCAGTTTAGCGGACTACTACCTCACATATAGATCAGGAACATCGTCTGTATTCTGCAGATGCATGCAAGATTTTGGTGCATTCACTTGTTACCTCTCGGTTGGATTATGGTAACGCCCTGCTCTGTGGTATATCTGACAAACTAACTAGTCGTCTGCAGAGGGTCCAGAATACTGCAGCACGGCTAGTTACTCGTACTCGAAAGAGAGAGCACATCACACCTGCGCTTTATTCGTTGCACTGGTTACCTGTACGATACAGGTCGCAGTACAAAATTCTGGTATACACATACAAGGCACTGAATGGAACAGCTCCTCAGTACNTGTTAAATGTATGAAAGTGATTGCAATCCTTTGTTGTTTGTTTTCACAATTATAACCATACTATTATCCATATGTTGTAAAGCGCCTTAGAGTAATTTTACAAATTATATAGGGCGCTATATAAATGTTGTATATTATTATTATTATTATTATTATATAGCAACAAATAGGTTATTTGTTTATCCAAAACCATAACAGCATATCTGATTATATTTCCATTGGTCATGTGATGAGGAATTACAACACTGTGAATTCCTCGCACATCGTAGTTTTCTAGTTATATTTCTTTTGCTCGCTGCTTCTCTGGAATGAACAAGGCCTGACTGAGTGAAGGAGATGGCAATACTACTTTGTAAGCCTGATCATCTTCCTTGCTGTGTAACTTTTGTTTTGTTAGTTAAAACAAAATAGTTATTACCCTTTTTGTTAGGAAATACAATTCATTATTTCCCCTGGATTAACCCTAATGTAGATTTCATATACAATTTGAGGGGTTACCGGTAATTGTCATACTGTTGCAGGTCTGTTCCTGCTAATTTTCTTTTTCTACCAAATGCAATCAGCATGGTGTTTCTTCATATTATTTTCACATCAGTCACTGTCTAAAATATTTTGATAACTCTTTTCAACTCTCTTTAAATTCAAACATTGAAATGAATGTTAAAATGAATATGTTACACACTTATACCTTTTAGGTTGAGAGACTTGTAGACAGAGTTCAGTCTTCCACATTACTAGATGACCGCAGAGATGCTGTACGAGCTCTCAAAGCCATGTCCAAGGTAACAATTTGTCTCCTATATATTTAGGTTAATCAAATATTTGGAATAGACTGTTGTTAATTCAGCTTTATAATGTTAATGACTATAGATTTTCAGATTAGTTTGACAATTATTCTTAAGAATCATAAAGCGATAATGGGATTTTTTATTAAATTATTTATTTATTTTTTTCTCTCAGAAATTCAGACTGGAGGTTGGTACACAGGGAATGGATATCCTAGCAAAGACTTTAGAAGCAGACAGGTACAATTTACATAAATGCATATAAGTTGAGGTTTCTGTTGTCTTTTTTAGTAAATTCAAGATGATTTTATTACAACAGAGCACACAATATTGACAAAATGTGAATGAAAATATTTCCATTATGAATGTGTTACATTCTCTCATAAAGATTTTGCATTGTATTCAAGGGAGATAATAATAATTGATTTTGTTATTCACACAAAAGTGTCAAAAAATCCCCAAACAGAACAAATAAAAAAATCTTTTTGTTGCATTCCTTTAAGAGTTGTGCACATTTTTGAATGTTTTATTATTATTATTTTTGCTCACTTAACACTTAGTCTGTAAATAATAAAACCAGTACTTGTGGATTAATTTTCAGATTGTAAGGTCCAGTACAATTGCTTATAAATCAGCAAATCACACTTTACCTGGGATCTTCTGATAAACTGCCTATACTATAGAAACATCTTTAGTTTTATGAAATTTGGATCACAGATGATTCCTGTCCATTAATATTTAGACAAAGACAAAGATAGGACAAGTACATTGATAGATAATAAACATAATAAATACATGGTGCCTAAACTACAACTGTACATACACATTTTCCTCAGTGAATAACTACAACAGTACATACACATTTTCCTCAGTGAATAACTACAACTGAACATACACATTTTCCTCAGTGAATAAGTACAACTGTACATACACATTTTCCTCGGTTAATAACTACAACTGTACATACACATTTTCCTCAGTGAATAACTACAACTGTACATACACATTTTCCTCAGTGAATTGAGAGTTCCTTAGTTTTACATCACTTAATTTTTAAGTAAACTCTGACACTAAGTAATTCTCATCTTACTCACTGTCAATGTATTTTTGTTGCATATCTTTATTGAGAATGTTTTTTTTCTGCTTGAACATTGATCTACTAATTTTATTGTATTGACTTCAGAGGTGATGCAGAAATCACAGGCTATGCACTTGATGCCCTTTGCAATATCTTGTCCAACGAACCATTGGATGATGGTAAGTAATACTTAGATGCAAAGATATAATAATAGTAATACTAGCCCAACTTGTTAGTGAGATCTTGATTATTTAAAAATAATTGGTAATTTGATGTGCTGGTTAGTGCATGGGGCCGCGGTGGTCAAGCGGTTAAGGTGGTTGACATTCTGCTACCACTAGTCCGCCACCACTGGTCGTGGATAAGAGGCCTATGTGGGGCAGTCGCCAGGTACTGGCTGTAGGTCAGTGTTTTTTCTACGGGAACTCCAGCTTTCTTCCACCACCAAAACCTGGCACGTCTTTAAATGACCCTGGCTGTTAATAGGACGTAAACCACAAACAAACTAGTGCAGGTTCTACTCCTCATATCAGGCAAATTGTGTCAGGCCTCTTAAAATTGTTATAAGATAATTTTATTACTCTTGTTTATTCATGATTTAAGCTTGATAAGTTAATTATCAGCATCAGATTCATGTATGTAAGTGAACTGAAAATACAGAGAAGTTGACACCAGTTTCAAGGCAACAACTTTAAAATATTAAACTAATCAAAAATAGTTTCAAATTTTAATGAAAATGCATACATGTCGTTCCACAAAAGTTGTAATCACTTGTGTGATCAAGCATAAATTTTGAGAAAATTTGTATTTTATTGAAATGTTTTATTGTACTAGATCTTGTTTGCTATTTAAGTTATATTTCTTTCAGATGACGAAGAAATACAAGAAAATGTTCCAGATGACCTAGGAAACCAATTTACAGAAATATTTATAAAGAAAACTGACAATGTTCCAGCACTACTGTCACTATTGGAGGTACAGATTCGTGTTGACAAATATAAAAGTAGAACTAATCTCTCTGAATGTTTGGTACTGTAGAGGTGGTCAAGTGCTCCTGCATGTAATAAGGCAAGCTGAAAGTACAAGACACATTGGTTGCTACCTTAGTCCCACATTTACATCAGGTTTCAGGGGTTGTGTTATTTACAATTTCTGAAGGAATAATATGACACCAATGAATGATGATATTTATAGATAAATGACACACAATTCTGACCCACCTACTCACACAGATTAACATCTAAATTATAACACTACCAGGCCTGACATCCTTTAGAGGGGTCAATCAGAGATTTCCCCAATTGAAAATTTCTTTGAGTGTTGATCATGCTGGGGACTTTTTTGTGACATTTTCTTGCAAAAAATACATGTGGCGCCAAATCATCCAAACAGCAGTAATCATATTTACACTAGTATTGGTAAATAACTGATGTATAAGTAGTCTATTCATAATGAATTTCAGTGTTTTAAGTTAAAGTCACAAGAACTGTGTTAAGGTATAGTGCTTTAAATTCGCAGGGTCAATATTTCGCGGTTTCGACAGTACATGTACGCGGGGTTTAGTTTTGCTGAGTACCCGAGTCCCATATGTCGTGCAAAGTATGTTGGGTGTCATGATCTGCCTAGTTGTCCGGTGATACTCTGATTTGAGTTCATTTAAGCTTGCATTACAGCGTTGAGTTTTAAGTATTTTCAACATGTGATAAGGTCCATAAAAGTGGTTAACATTTTTGATAATTTCGCTGGTGTTTAGAATTAGCGGATTTTAGTCAAACAGTAAATCTAGCGAAATCAAAAACCCCGCGATATATAATCGCTATATAGTATTCATAATAAACATACTTTATTCAATAAAATAAGCAGGAAATTGTACACCCCTGCACATACAAGGTACAGAAAATGCAAACACAGGATTGGACGTGGCAGGAGATTGGCATTGTTTCTGTACATGTACTACACAAGTACATAGATTATCTAGTTATACATCCAAGATGCAGAGCAGTCTGCAGAAACTGATACTTTTCAGCTTTTCTTATGTGCTTGAGACATCAAAAGATGATCACAGTCAACCAGATTTTCTATGAAGCTCCTTTTATTCTTGGTTCCTTGGAATCAATTGAAATCTGATGGTTAAAGCATACTCATCCGGAACAGTCAATCATCTTTCAATCTAATTTGCTATGAAGCATCCAGGAGACCAGAGAACAGATGTTATATATAAGTAAGGGTGTTGTTGTTCTGGGTACTGAGCATCCTTGATACTCCAGGGGTTATGCTCACTTTCACTATTTGCACCCCCAGAATAGGTCCTAGCAAAATTGAAGACACACGGCTAGCTATTTGATTGGTCTGACTCTCAGGTGAAAAAACCCTGACCAATCACTAGGCTAATACATGTATGACCTTTGAAGATTACCAAGGAGCGACACCCGACTTCAAAGCAAGTCAATTTTACCGTTACGTGACCGACAGAATCTTTTCATGTACATCAAAGAATCAAACTAGTCTTCTTGTCTCATCCACAAGGTGGTGCACACTGAACCGTCAATTTTGTCATGACATATTCTAGGGGTGCACAAAGCGAAGTTGAGCATTACCCCTGGAGTATTGAGGATGGGTACGGAGAGGCAGAGGTCAAAATGGGGAGATATTTGCAATTACTTTTAATGAATGACACAGCCCCTTTGCCTCTTCTTTAATGTGTAAAATTCAGGTCTGCAAAAACTATTAAACAGTTGTACTTTTAATTTAATTTGTGGCATTTCTTTCCCACAGGAATATGATTTCCACATCCGTTGGCCAACTGTACGACTACTTACCATTCTTTTGACGAACAAAGGCAAAGACCTACAAGATATTATCCTAGTCAGTCCTATGGGTGTGTCCAAACTCATGGACCTGTTATCAGACAGCAGAGAAATCATCCGCAATGATGTAAGTTTGGTGTTTGCCTATAAAGTTTATTCAGTTCGACGTTTGCTTTACATATATCATTGTGAAAATTTTGAAAGGAAAAGCTAAACCAAAAAGTATAATGTGAATATTTATTGCAATTTTAATGCATGTTCTTTAATACTCTTTTACATCATTGTAATACATTTGTATAACATGATTTAATGTGACGATGTACACCTGCAAACAAGCAAAAAAGTCAATACTGCAGTAAGAACAACTGATGCAGTGATAAAATAAAGAGGTGTTGAATCCCTGTGATGTTAATTAAATATAATGTTATTTGATTCTATATGTTGAACCCGGACATTTACTTTTAATTTGTAGGCTCTTCTTCTGCTAATTCAGCTCACCAAGAACAATGCAAACCTGCAAAAGATTGTTGCTTTTGAAAATGCGTTTGAGAGATTGTTTGATGTCATTACAGAGGAAGGTGACAGTGATGGAGGTATGCTCACAGTCAGACAGCTAAAATTGCTTTTATTCCCCACAGCATGATTTGTTGGGTATTTTGCATTGGGCACTGTATCTCAGGTGTGCTTATTTCTGACATTACTGGTTAAAGACCAGTACATGAAAACTATTTGTTTGGAAGCATCACAAAGTGTTGATAATTAAATATATACAAATAAAGGGGCAGTCCCTTCATGAGTGCTGAATGCAAAGAAAAGTGAAAACTTAAAAATGTCCATGCCTATAACCATACACCAGCATGCCTATAACCATACACCAACATGCCTATAACCATACACCAACATGCCTATAACCATACACCAACATGCCTATAACCATACACCAACATACCTATAACCATACACCAACTTGCTGGGCATAAAAAGACATACACAATCATGCTATAGGGTCTGGCCATGCACCAGTTGCTTGGCATAAAGAGATGAATCCACGTATGCTTTTAAGAATGCAGGGTCCCCACTAGCATCTAGGGACTTATCCCAGGGTCTGGTCCTGCTCCTTGATATTTATTCTAAATATTACTTTTTATCATGGGAATATTTATTAGTTTAAATAAGATTATACTGGTAGTTATAAGCAAAATCTTCAACCTTTTTGAAAATACTTGGAAGATGTCTTTGCAATATATTGTCTTTTGTCAATGCCACAGCAATATTTATTGCTTCCATTTCACATTTGAATTTTCGATGACAGCACAGTGTCAGGGACTGTACACCAAACTCCATCCATTCATTGATATGTGCTTGTCCATGCGGTAAGTTATGAACCATTGATTGTAATACAATGTATATTCTGAATACATTATATGGTACATGTATAGGACTTCTATAAATAATTGTGCGTTTCCTTGATTACATACATTTTCTTAAAATGTCTTTTGTGCCCTGGTGAGTTGATTTGCAGAAACATACTATTTTGTCGCCTTGGTTACAGGTATCGTAGTAGAGGATTGCCTACTTTTGCTGTTAAATCTACTAAAAAACAATGCATCAAACCAGAATTTCTTCCGAGAGAGCAGTTTTATACAGAGGTTATCACCTTTCTTCAATTTGAAGTCTGATCAGCAAGCATCACAGCCGGGTTGGTCAGCACAGAAAGTCACCAATATACATAAAATGTTACAGGTGAGTACCATGCAAAGTCAACTACATTTAAAAAATGTTACAAGTTGCCAGTATACAAAAGAATCCACAGGTCAGTATAATACTCACCTGTATACAAAAGAATCCACAGGTCAGTATAATACAAACTCAACAGTATACAAAAGAATCCACAGGTCAGTATAATACAATCTCAACAGTATACAAAAGAATCCACAGGTCAGTATAATACTCACCTGCATACACAACAGGTCACAGGATAGTACATATACCACACAAAATTGCAAACATACACAAGGTATTACAGGTCAGGGCCATATATAAAGCAACAGGTCACAAGTATTGGCCATTCATAGTTAATAACATACATTTAGTGTTAAAAGTTAGTGTAAAGCATCAAGTACATGTTTTATACTAGCTGATTGGTCAGGATATTAGATAATAATATTTTGCTTTTGATTAAAAAACATTTGCACCAGTAACATTGGTTACTAGTGACTGAGCTAATGCTCTATCCTTGACATCTGTGTTTGTGTTGGTTTGGCATCCAACCTGAACACTTTTTGAACTCCAAAAGTGTGTTTTTCCATACCCTTCTGTTAAGCATCTTCATTCATTTTGTGTATAAATGTGATATAATGACAGCTTAATTTTGAAATTTGCTTTAATATTTCTGAATTCCTTCATGTCTTTTCCTTTACTGTTTTTTATGCACCAAATCTTACTTTAAAGTTTTTGAGGTGAGTTTTGCAAATGCTTCTTACTTAAATGCTAAAATACTATTATTATGCTTTGATTTCGAGGCATATCATTTTGATGCTACTTTATGTAACATATATATTATTAGCTCAACTGCGCGAAGGGCAAGTGAGCTTATGTCATGGTGAGGCGTCCGTCGTCTGTTCATCCGTCAACTTTTCCTTTAAACAACTTCTTCTGAAGAACGAACTGGCATAGAGCCATGATATTTGACTGAAAGCTTCGTTGGTAGTAGCTCAACTAAGTTTGAGAGCAAAAATGACCTTGACCTTCTTTCAAGGTCACAGGGGTCAAATGTGTCAACAATTCAAATGACTTCTTCTGAAGGACTGAAAGATATAGAATCTTCAAATTTGGCTGGTGGCTTCCTGGGATAGAGCCCAACAAAGATTGAGAATGAAAATGACCTTGACCTACTTTCAAGGTCACAGGTCTCAAATATGTCAAAAACATCAAACGACTTCTTCTGAATAATCGAAAGGCAAAAAATGATGACCTCAATCTACTTTAAAGGTCACAGAGGTCAACAACATTTCAAAGGATTTGTTCTGAAGAACCAAAAGGAATGGATTCATAAGATTTGGCTGGTAGCTTCTTGGGATAGAGCTAACAAAGTTTGACAAGGAAAATGACATTGACCTACTTACAAGGTCACAGGGGAAAATATGTCAAAAAACTTCTGAAGAAGAACCAAAAAGCATAGAATCTTATGATAATACTTGGCTGGTAGTTTTAACAGATGGAGCCGACAAAGTTCGCGAGGGAAATATTTGTAGTGCAATATAATATTTAATGAGAATATTTTGCTATGACTGCTTAAATATTCAGGTGTGCAATACAGGCCATCTGGGCCTCTTGTTTCAAAATGTTTAGGAAATAACTTCTTGAAATTCAAATGAAAGCATTTTGTTATGGATGCTGCTGGTTAGCTCCAAATTGCCCTTGCATTCACTTTTTTAAATTGGAGTTGTGTTTGAACAAGTTCGAATAATTTCATAAATTTTATTATTTTTTGTAGTTGGTTCGCACGCTAGTGTCTCCTAATAGTCCACAACAGCAGATGTCAGCATGTCAAAGATCCATGTTTCAGTGTGGTAAGAGACAGTGTATTGTTACATTTAAATGAAATGTGTGATGTTTGGATATCATTTAATACACCTGTAGAAGTAAGTGTATTATTGTTTGTCATGTAAAACGTTTAAGATACCTGTTTCTTTACATATTTGTTATACAGTTAGTGTATCTTTAAAACTTTTTTTGCAAAATGGCTTCTAGGTAGCCATCTTTAATTTTGACAGTCAAAGTTTGTTTTTGCTATTTCTCAGTAGTAAAGAGATCTTTCTAAAAATTTCATAAATAGTATTTGCACATAAAAAAAGTTGTCAGACAGTACTCACTAAATAACATGGAACTGGACCTAAGTTCAGGATTTCAGATTTGGTTTTACACATGAAATTTGACAAACATCAAGTTTATTTTACACCAAAAAGATTACTACTGGTATGCTTTTGAGATACAATTCAAGTGAGGAAATCAAGTGACAAGGAGGATCACATGCAACTATTACATTAATTACTAGGTAACATCCAAGTATTCCCTCAAACATATATCCCACGTTAGTATTTCATTAAATAAATGAAGCATGTAAACACAATATCGTGCCAGTTTTTTTTTTTTACAGTACATATATATACAATTATGGTAAAAAGAATTGAAGAATGGTCAACAACAACCTCACTTTGTAAGTGCAAGGTCAACACAGCAGGAGGAAGTTTTGATCAAAAGTTGCCAAAAGATGTATTTATTGTTGACATGGTTATCAGTCCAACAGATAAGAATATATCTAATCAATATCTTCCAAAGGTTTACTAACACCAGAACAATAATTGATAAATGAAAAACTAGATAAAAAATGTGTTTTGCTGTTACAGGCTTGGTACAGCAGTTATGTACCATACTGATGGCTAGTGGAGTGCCCGCTGATGTCCTCACAGAGGTAAATACCGGTCATAGTCATGTAGTTCTAGATATCAATGGGCTGTTACTGGTCATAATCATGTAGTTCTAGATATCAATGGGCTGTTACTGGTCATAGTCATGTAGTTCTAGATATTAAT